CCCCAAAACCCCAAAACCCCAAAACCCCAAAACCCCAAAACCCCGTTAGCAATGATTAAAACATTTTCAGTGTCATTAATTTGTTAAAATAAATAAATTAACTTATATCAAATATGAGAACAATAGTATTACTTTTGCTATTGGCAATAACCTCCATTAAGTCTGTGCATGTCGAAGTTAGCAATAATCATATTGTCTAGAGGCTTCAAAGAGAATCTAAGTTCCTAAATGATTTAGTGAATCACAAATGGCATGAACTTAATCATCAAGATAGAGTAGAACTAGATTTTAATACATTGACGACAGCTGATCCAATAGAATCTCAAAAAAAAGCGATAGACTTCATTCTCTAGGGTTAAGCATCCTCTTAAGCATTTACAGCAACTGTTCATACAAAACTTATTCCTTCAGAAGAATACGATATCTACAAAAACATCCTTGTTAACTAAGTAGAAGTATCAGGAGTGGAAGATTAGAAAATAAAGCAAGACTTAGAGCTATCAGTCTCTAATTTAACTAATGCTCTATCTGATTGGACACACCTTAACCTCAATGGATCTTCAGATATTTTTTACGCTATTCATCTTTTGAGCTATATTGGAACAAGAATTGCAGGAGCATTCCATACTGATGGTAGATCAGTCTTCTTAGAGTATAGTGCAAGAGATATGCATTTTTCAACAAGACATTCAGACCCAGTTGAGAATTATTCTAAATTACCCAAATCAGAAACTCCAAGATTCTTAGGCCTATCGCTGAATGACAAGTTCCTCTAAGAATTTTTCTTGGAATTCTTAGAAAGAAGAAAAGAAATAAATGTACTCGAATTCATTCAACTTTTCCCTGATTTTGATACTGTATCAAAGGAAATGAAGGTTGGGTAACTCCTACCATTATTCCCTTCATTGGAGGATAAATATAGCAAAGATGATTTCTTCAGCCTTATGATAAATCCTATCAAGTAACTTGAAGATGGCGTAGAATATGCTAACAAAAATATAAAGTTTTAATTCAAGAAAGACTAAATTGAAATCCTCATTCCTCTCATTTTTGACATAGTCGTTCACCATAATGAAGCATGGGACATCTTCAGATAAGGTTTCCTTGGATTTGGATTAAGCGCAACTCTCAAACAACAAGAAGATAAGCCATTGAAATTCTCATTCAAAGCAAATGCAGGAATCAAAAAGTTAGTTCTTATCGATTAATCAGTTGAAGACCCAGATGATTAAAGTAAGCATTAAATTTTCATATTATAACTTATAATTTAGATATGGAGCATGAGTCTGGAGCGATAGTTGGATTAGCTAATCTATTTTTAAGGAAACAGCTCAAACCTCAGACAGTAGAAGCACCATTGCATTTAGCTGAGATCTATCCTCAATTTGATGTTAAGACTATTGCAGAACAAATTAAAGCTAGAATTATTCCTGGTTTCTTAGATGTAACAGTAGGTGAATTCAACTTAGATGCTATTTCAACTGAAGGATTTGATTTAGTTAACTTAATCACACCAGTTAGCGAGGGATTCCACGGAGATGCTATGAAAAAGAAATCAGCATATGAGAAAAAACAAAAAAGATTAGAGTACTAATCGAATCTTTAGAAAGATGTTGAAGATAGATAGGAAAAAGAAGAACTATGACTGAATGTTTGAATTAGTCGAAGCAATTATCACTTAATTTATTTCCGAGATTAAATTTTGCAAAAATATACTTTTAATATAAGGGGGGTTTTGGGGTTTTGGGGTTTTGGGG